GCCCCGGCGCCGCGACCCCCGCCACTCGGGCATCGGGGAGCCCCGGAGGCCGCCCCTCCACCTTCTCGGGTTCCCGGGACGCGGCGGCGCCCACTCGCCTTCCCTCCCGGGCGCCAGGTGGGGGCGGCGGCGCCCAAATCGCTGTACCGTGCGCTCCCCGCGCAGGAGCCGCCACGGCCTTCTCCCGGGCGGCGTGGCGCGGGGCGGAGGACTTGGAAACTGACATACGAGGGGACCGAGTGGAAAGTAGAAGGAGGTGCTGCGAAGGGAACCGGAGGGCCAAAGTTCCCAACTGGAACGCGGGGTCGACGAGGGGTCTCTACATCACCACCCCGCATTGCAATTTGGCTGCTTAGCGGGGAGTGTGGGCGGCTTCCCCGCCTTACCCCCGCACTCCGGTGTAAAACCCCCGTCAGTCTAGGCTCGGCCTCTGAGAGCAGAGAATCTCGCCCAGAACACACGCAACCAGGTGGGGATGGGGTCCTTGAGGGGGCAGGGGGCTGGGGCGCTGCTTTCACTAAAGCTCCTGACCCTGAGCCACGGCATCCATGTCTGTACAACACGGACAATGAAGGGAAAGACTTCCAACTGTGGAGCCTGCAGGAAGAGCGGTTCCTGTGGCCGTCCACCGGACACGTGGCGCGCATTCTTCGCTAACGTGTAGGTGTGCTGGTCTCCTTCCTGTGGCCTCTCCACCCACCACCACCGCTAGAGTGAAAGTAGAGTGGCCTCTTACCCTGCTCAGGAGATAACGATACGGTCCCTTTCGTCTGTACAGCCCTTCACAGTTTGTAACCCCTTCCTACATACATTTCATATGAACAGTATGTGAGTCAAACTGTCTGGGTTTGATTTCCGCCTCAGCCACTCACCGGCTGGATGAAGTTGGTCACCTTGCTTAACTTCTCTGTGCTTAGTTTTCCGGTCTGTAAAATAGGGCTAACACTAGAACTTGCCTGGTTGAGTTATTGTGAGGATTAAGTGGCTAATCCGTGTAAGGGGCTTGGTCCCTGCACCCCCGTTAGCAATTATGATTGAGCCCCTGCTGTGTCTAACTCAGAGCCTCCTTCATAGATGAACTTTCCAGACCCCTCTTGGTGTCAAAGGGGGAAAGAAGCCTAAAGCAGCACCTCTCAATTTACATGAGCACACAGCTCCCCTAGCAATCTTGCCAAAATGCAGAATCTGATTCAGTAAGTCTGGGGTGGGGCCTAAGATCCTGCAAGTCTGACCAGCCCCCTAGCTACGCTGCTGCCACCAGAGCACCATTTGAGTAGTGACATCTTAGAGCAGCAGAATCATCTAGGGGGGCTTGTTAAAACAGACCGTGGAGTCCCACTCTCAGTTTCTGATTCAGTAGGTCTGGGGTGAGGCCTGAGCATGTGCGTTTCTAACAGTTCTCAGGTGATGCTTGATGTTGCTGAGGACAGAGAATCCCTCTTTTAGAGCATCTTGCCCCACAAGCTTACAGCCACTAATATTGTCAAGCTGGGGAGTGGGCTGGGTGGTAGAGACCATTAAATAGCCAAGGGCAGCTTCTTGTGCTTTGGGAGTAAAAAAAAAGTTGGGGGGTGCACCTAAGTTTAGGAGCCAAAAAGACTTCCCAATTCTCAGGGAGTTAAGACACTAGAAGGAATGATAAAGGACGGTGTGGGTTCTTTCTCAGCATCCTTTAAATATCAGAGAGACAGGGAAAGGCTGCCGTGCTGCTTGAGGACAAAAGAAAGGGAACCGAGGCCCTGACGGCTCACGTCTTCCCCTTTGGGGCCCTCTCTCCCCAGACAACCAGGAGAACCGAGCGAAGGCGGAGGGCGGCAGCAAGGCCCGCAAGGAGAGGACGGCCTTCACCAAGGAGCAGCTGCGGGAGCTGGAGGCCGAATTCGCGCACCATAACTATCTGACCCGGCTCCGGAGATACGAGATCGCTGTAAACCTGGACCTCTCCGAGCGCCAGGTGCGGCCCAGGGGGTCCCCCATCTTCTGGCCATCCCTCCTTTCCTCTGCCCTCTCATCCCCTCCCTTCCCACCACTCCTCCCTGAATCTTCTTCTTTTTCTTCTCCCTCCACCCAGTGCAGTCGTTCTCAGCTGTGGCTGTACCCGAGAATCGCCCGCGGAGATTTTTAATAACACTGATGTCTGGGCTCCACCCCTAGAGACTATTTCCATTGGTCCGGGATACAGTCCAGGCATCAGAACTTTTCAAAGGTCCCGCAGGTGACTCTCATGTGCAGCCAGGGTTGGAACCTCTGATCTCATTATTCCCAGACTTGAGTGTACATTGGAATCATCTAGGCTCTTGTTTAAAATGCAGATTCCAGGGCCGGCCCCGTGGCTTAGCGGTTAAGTGCGCGCGCTCCGGTACTGGCGGCCAGGTTCGGATCCCAGGCGCGCACCGAGGTACCGCTTCTCCAGCCATGCTGAGGCCGCGTCCCACATACAGCAACTAGAAGGGTGTGCAACTATGACATACATATCTACTGGGGCTTTGGGGAGAAAAAGGAGGAGGATTGGTGATGGATGTTAGCTCAGAGCCGGTCTTCCTCAGCAAAAAAAAAAAAAAAAAAAAAAAAAAGAAAATGCAGATTCCAGAGCTCCGGAGAGCGATTTTGCTGGAATAATGAGTGAGACTGGGATTCTGCATTTCTGATAAGTTCTCCAGGTGACCCGGATGTGCAGCTGGTTCCTGGGCACACAGGGAGAACTTCCTAGCCCTTTGTTTTGGGCTTTCCTTCAGGGCGTTCCACCCACACCCATGCTCTGACATGGAGTAAAATATTTTCATGATAATAATAGTTGATAGCAGCTTTTAGTGGATGAAGCTCTCTGCCAGAGTGCTGGATTTAGAATCAGAAGACTTCGATTCAAATCCTGCCTCTACCACTTCCTAGCCCTGAGACCCCTGGGACGTGTCTCCTAGCCTCTCTGGGTCTCCATATGTAAAACAGGGTCATAACCCCACCCTGCAGGTGATGCTGATGCTCGGATGAGAGAATGTGCAGACCAGAGCTGTCTGTGGTGAGAGGTGCTTTATAAATGTGCCTAAGGATCAGGCTGGTGATCCTCTGCTCCCAGACCCTTGGGTAGTAGAAGCCAGAGGGAGCGGGTGTTGGCACAGGAGGGGCGGGGCATATGAAGGGGGTGGGGCCAGTGCAGAGTGACTTATAGAACTTGTACCCCGGTCTGTCCCACTTTCTGTATCTGGAGACACGAGACAGGCTTCTGGGTAGATTGGTGTGTCCTCTCTTTGGCCTCAATTCCTGGAGCCTTTGGAGCAGTGGGGAGCGGCCAGCAGAGATTCGAACTGAGGTCCCTGGAGCCCCACCCTGGCTAGCTTGAGCATCACTATGGGGAGGTGGTCTCACCTGCCTTCAAGTGACTGGGCTCCTTTGCTTCCTCCGTCAGGTCAAAGTGTGGTTCCAGAACCGAAGAATGAAGTGGAAGCGCGTGAAGGGCGGTCAGCCCATCTCCCCCCACGGGCAGGACCCCGAGGATGGGGACTCTGCAGCCTCTCCAAGTTCAGAGTGAGATTCTCCATGGAGAAAAAGACTGAGGACTAAGCCCCCTACCCAACTACCCTCACCCTAATCCTACCTTCACCTTCTCCCATCCACCCCAGGACAGCCTCTCACATCTTGCAGTGACTCTTGGATATGAAGCTGCGCAGTGTTCCTGGGAGCCTTGAAGTTTCCCAGAAAGTTCTGTCCAGCATTTCTCTCTCTTAGCGCCCCTTCCCCAGTCTTTGCTTCCCACAGTTCTCATGGAATCATGCAGTGGCCTGATCGGACCCAAGTGAATCCGGGGAACAGCTCCAGGGACTCTCCTTCTCAGGGTCTCTTGGCTGCTGCCCACACCTCCTCCTACCACCTTCCTCCTGCACCAGCCAGGCCTCTTCCAGGTCTGGACACCACATGGCCTGCTGGGAGAGGAGCCGTGGGACCAGCTGGTGACTCATGAAAATGCTCCAAAAGAAAGGAAATGACTGAGACACACACACACCCTAGACCACCGTTCCTTTCTCGGCTCTATATCTGAGGCTTTGGGGACCCTCGGTTGTCCCAAAACTCCAGGGAAAATCAGTGTGAGGAAGGTTGAAGACAGAAACTCAGCTGCTGCAAATCAGAAACCAGTCCCTGTCTGGAAGTTTGCTGGCTCAGCGGGCAAGTTTATGAGCACTGACTGGAAGAAGACAGTCTGAAAAACAGCCTGGTGTTGGTCTCCATGGTCCACACAGGCCCGTTCGCACTGGCTTTCCTGGGTGGGGGAGAGTGGACCCAGGAAAGCACCTGCTTCTTCAGAATCAATTCAGGGACACCACTGGGAGTGTTGAGCAGCGCCCCAGAGCAAGAGAGCAGCTATTCCTTTTCTGGATTAAAATTTCTGGATTGAAAACCTATCCAGATGCTCACATTATTGAATTGAGGGCTTGAGAGTGTCCCCTCTGTTCTGAGAACGGAGAGATGATACTGGGGCTGTGGAACCCTGGAGAGAAAGGTTCTCCCGCTGCAGTGTCCTCTGCTTTCAAAGGACTCTGACTGCAAATGGGGACAAGCAAGCAGTCCCTCCTTCTCCACCAGATGCATCCGAGCTCCTCCTACGTGTTCCACAAATGCTGTTATTATGGGAGGAGCTGCTAAGTTTCTGTGTGTGGACAGCCCAGATCCTCTGGGGGGACACTCCAGGACTGATGGCCAAACAGCCTGAGGTGACTGAAGCCTCGACGAGAGAGCCCTGCCTGCCTCCATGCTCTGTCTCCCAATACCAGCCGGTGTTGCAGGGGAGGTCAGCGAGAGTTTGGAGCTCTTGTATGTAGATTTCATCATTCACATGTAAAAAGAACCCCACCTCCCCATCCCAAAAGGGCAAACGCTGTGGAAAATGATTGCCAAATAAGATGGCTGGTTAGAGCATGTGTAATTTTTTCTAAAGCATACTTCATGTATTTTCTTAAGATTACATCAAGTTAACTGTGCAAGGTCAACTTGCTTAGTAAGAAAACTCTTGGAGAAATAAAATCCATAAAAAAAGCAATGTTCCCAAGTCTTTTGCCTTGCAGAGCTAAGAACCACAGCTCTGTGTGCAGGCCTCTGATGTTCGTGTGATGATCAGCCAGACAATTTCTAGAAGCCACGAGAAAAGGGAGGAAATCATCTAGAATAAGGTATCCCCCTTTAGGTTCTTCAAACTGTGGGGGTACAAATGTAATCGCTGTCAAAAAAAAATCTTTCCTCCCATGCAACTGCATTGTCTTCATTTTCTGTTGCAAAATTTATCTTTCATGGGCCGGCCCCGTGGCTTAGCGGTTAAGTGCTCGCGCTTTGCTGCTGGCGGCCCGGGTTCGGATCCCGGGCGCGCACCGACACGCCACTTCTCTGGCTATGCTGAGGCCGCGTCCCACATACAGCAACTAGAAGGATGTGCAGCTGTGACATACAACTATCTACTGGGGCTTTGGGGGGAAAATAAATAAATAAATAAATAAATCTTTAAAAAAAAAAAAAAAAATTTATCTTTCAGTTTCTCTAACCTATGGCTTCTCAAATAGTCCAAGTTCTATAAACAAAAGATGAACTCTTTTGTTAATAAAGGAATCTTGACCATAAACTAACCATCCCTAATTTTTAAATTCAAAGTTTGGAGGGTTTTGTTTTTCAGGATAAAACAATATACACCAATAGTAATAAAAATGACACAAGAAAAAAATGTCCCCAATTCTGTGTCTTTTTAATTAAAAAAAATTTGTCTCACCAAGATGTCAATAATGGACAAAATAGGACTGGCTAGAGAGAGGGGAAGTGGGGAGCCAGAAGAGGAGACCTGGCCAAGATGTGGCACCAAGGCAGTCCGGGCCTGGGTGGGCAGTGACCAGAAATGACGTCATCAGGAGCTGGCGGAGTAAAGCAGATCCACCAAAATCAAGGCGCCAAAGGGCAAGTTCAGGTTCAAAGCCAAGCAAAAATGACACCCTCAAGCACTCCAACACTCCCTCCTAACTCAGCTCCCAGGGCTTCAAAGGACATCAACCTCTGCTGATTTTGCTTGTCTCCAGAATGTTCCTTCTCTGTCTCCCATGCAGGCCCCTTTCTCAATGCTTTTGCCCTCACTGCTGGTTCCCAAGTTTTCCTCTTTCTGCCCACTGCCTTCCCCCCTTCACGCTCTCCCCGGATGATCCCATGTACCTACATTTTTTTTATTGTGGTAAAATATACATAACCTAAAATTTTAACCATTTGTAAGTGTACAGTTCTGTGGCATTAAGTACTTTCACATTGTGCAACCATCCCTCTCCAGAACTTTGTCATCTTCCCAAACTGAAACTCTGTCCCCGTTAAACACCAACTCCCCCTGCCCTCCTTCCCTCCATCTACCCACCTTTATATAGTGTTTGTGTTGGGCACTGTTCTAAGTGTTTTACATGTACGAACTACGTTAATTCTCCTAACAATCCTAACAGGTAGTACTACTATTCCTGTCTTACAGACGAGGTAACCAAAGCAGAGGGAAGTTGAGTAAGCCGCCAAGGTTTTATAGCCGGTTAGTGGTTTTGGTAGATCATACAATTGGGGCCAATTACTTTCTTCCCTCTCCACCGGGGAATATGCTCCCTGACCACTGCCGTATGCTGGACCTCCTGTGGTGTCCTTCCCACCTCATTGACGGCAGGCTTGTCCATGTGACCAGCTTTGGCCAATGGAATGTGAGCAGAAGTGCCAGGTGCCCTGTCCATGCACAAGTTTTAGAGTCATCGTGTGGCTCTGCTGTGGCGCTTTTCCCTCTGCATGAGGCTGAGATGGGGGTTCCACCATTAGCCTGGCTTCCAGAATGAGAAAGACATGGAGCAAAGCCAAAGCTGACCCACCACCTTCACATATGTCAGTGAGGATATAAAAGTGTGTTGTAGGCCACTGGGATTTGGGGTCATTTGTCACTGTAGCTTGTGAAATATGACTACTCCAGTTATGACACTGAGATTTGGATCCTGGCATTCTGGCACTAGGCCAACACTCCCCTACTGGGCTCTGGGACCCTAAGTTTTCATATTCCTTTGCCTACTGCCCTTTGCCACCAAGATGACTACAGGCATCTCAAATTCAAAATATCTGAAGGGGAGTCTCCATTCCCCCGATTAGGCTGGCTTGTCTGCCTGCATTCTGAATTGTCTATTTTAGTTGGTGACACCACAGCTTACCCATTCACTCATACTGGAAACCTGGGACACATCCTTGGTTCTAACCTCTTTGCTTGGCAGAACCAGTCACCTGGTCCTGCTTGTTTCACTTCCTATGTAGATATTTCTCATACCCACTGCACTCTTTGTTTTCCTACCAGCATTGCCTTTCTTCGGGCTGTCAACACCTTTCACTTGAATTGGAATCTCCGATAGCTCTCCCTCCTTCTGGGCTGAAGCACCTCGAAGTCCATCCCCTACAGCAACCACACACACACAAATCCAACCTTGTCACCCTCCATTTAAAACCTATCTAGGGGGGCGGGCCCAGTGGTGTAGTGGTTAAGTTCGCACACTCCAATTTGGCAGCCCGGGGTTCACCAGTTCGGATGCCACTCATCAAGCCGCACTGTGGTGGCATCCTACATACAAAATAGAGGAAGATTGGAACAGATGTTAGCTGAGGGACAATCTTTCTCAAGCAAAAAGAGGAAGATTGGCAAGAGATGTTAGCTCAGGGCCAATCATCCTCACCAAAAAAAAAAAAAAAACCCACACACCTATCAAGGGCTTCCCATCACCTACAAAATGAAGTCCAAACCCTCCACAGGCCTCCAAGAACCCCAAGCTCTGGCCCCTGCTTACCTCTTCAACCTCCTACCACCACCTCCTGCCACAAACTCTGTGCTCCAGCAGTACCAAGCCATTCACCCTCCCATAGACACCCACCATGTGATTCCTCTCCTACATTCCCTTGCTCATTCCCTCCGTTTGGAATGCTCTCTCAGACCTGGAACCCCCAAAGACTTAGCCATTCCAGGAGCACTTACAGCAACAACTTGAGAGGAACACAGAGGAAGTTTTAACGTGTTTAACTATGGCCTAATTTTCAACAGTAGGCTGATGCCTGACATCACAGGGCAACATTAGCCAATTTCTAAAATCAATAGAAAAAAATCTCTTTCAATGTGAGAATTTTAATCTTCCCAATAAACACAGTTAATAAGTCCATTGAGGAGAGTCTGGTCATGAAATTAAAGGTGCACGCACACGTCACTCGAGTGTTTTCTGGTTTCTTTTGACCTCCTCCCTCCCTTCAGCATTGGCGTTTGATTGGCCAGTGCTGGGTGAACAGTAGCTGGGACCAGCTGCGCCTCAAATTGGTAAAAATCCTCTGCTTTCTCTCAGGTGCAAAGCTGTATGCGAGAAGCAAGCCCACCCACTGGCGACTCCCTGATGAACCAGTGGCTGTGACCAGAGATGGTGGCTTGGTAGGAATCCGGACAACCAAGAATTCCCAGACAATAACTTTTCAGTAATGGGTTCCTCCATCCTTGAGAGAACATCAAGGCGGAGCAAGTGTGTGGCTGCCCTTTGGAGAGAGGCAGAGAGATGCAAGAGAGACGAAGGGAGTAGAGAATCCATTTCCAAATGAAAGGGCCTGGGGGCACTCAGGGCTTTGGAAACCTGCCCACCTGCCTGGGCCAGGCCCTGGATGGAGGCATGTATTTCTGAAGCTTCTATTCAAAGAAGAGAGCTGATGTCAGGCCGGGGTCCTCTCTTTTCCGATTGGAGCCCCAAAGTGCCACAGTTCCAGGAGAGCCTGTGGTAGGTAGCCTTCTTTCCTTGCATTGAGTGCAAATGTTTTCCATTAAGAGCTATGTATTTTCCAGGCAGGCTGAGCGGCCTGTACCAGCTAACCCCTTACAGTCACCAATGTGGAAATGGCCAGTGGTGTCCCCTCTTGGCCACCATAGCGCTCGGCCCTCACCATGTTCCTTCTCTTACTGGTTGCACCTTCTCAGTCCCATTTCCTGAAAATCCTGAATAGACACTCTCAAAATATCTCAAATCCACACCCTTCTCTAATGCCACCATCACCCCTGGCCACTGCTATCCTTCTATCCCTGTCTTCCCACCTTGTATGAGTTCCTTTACGGCCCTCACCACAATTTATCATTCTTTTATTTGTTGTTTGCTTATTCATTTGTGGTCTGCTTTCCAAGCTGGAGGGAAGAAAAGAGGATGTGCGTCTCTGACCATTTTATTCGCAGCTACTAGCATGATGCCTACACATCATAAATGCTCAATAGATAGTTATTGCATGGATGGATGGACACATGGATGGATGGAGGGATAGATGGACAGACAGATGGATGGATAAATGGATGGACAGATGGACGGATGGACGGATGGATGGAAGGATGGATGGGTGGGTAGATGGGGGAATTGTTAAATTAGTGGTATCTCCTGGCTTCACAGCTCCCAAGTGCCCATTGCTGGCCACGCAGACCGTGTAGGGAAGCTCTGGCCCAGAAGCTGCTTACACTGGCTGGCTTGATGCAGTCCAGGCCTTTAGAGCCCAACAGCTCTGGCTGGCCATGCCCTTGCCCAGAAAAGGGTCACTGGACACTCACCCTGTTTCTGTAGCCCAGGGGAACTGTCTCTGATTCTGGCCACAGGACTGCCTGCCTGGTGGGACCATGCTGTCTCAGGTTGTCCGCCTTTAATAATCTCTGCATTGCAGGAGGAGAAATCCCTTACTCCTTATCACCTTCCCTCCCCCAGCTCCCACCACACACACACACACACACACACACACACACTCTCTCTCTCTCTCTCTCTCTCTCTCTCTCTCTCTCTCTCTCTCTTTCAGCCCTGAGCCCTGTCTGAAGTCTGAATGAGCCTCTCCCCTTTGACCTGCAGTTGCGAAAAAACAGCATCCAGGTCCTGACCACTGACAACAGCAAGACTCAGAGGCGTGCCTGATAAGAAGCTTGTGAGCAGCTCTAGTGTGTCTCTGAGGGCGATGCTTAATAGCTTGAAGGTGACATCAGGGTCGGGACTAATATCCGATTGAACAGAAAGAGACATGACCTAACTCGTCTCTCACCATGGGCCTGGCTGCAAGAGCTTCTCTTTCTTTATTAATTTCCTAACTGGAGCTGCTGGCTCAGGACTCCAGCCTGTCCCCAGAGCTGGGGCCCATGGCTGGGCTTAACTCCAGCGTTATTGGGAAGGGAGCAGGCTGGGCCTGTCTGAGAGCCACTGTGAAGGGCAGCTACCATAGTCTGTGCTCAGC